TGTTCTGTTGAAATTTTTTTTTTTCGTTTTTTTTATTTTCCTAATAATTAATATTAATCTATTAAAAACATGGTATCATTAATTGAATAATCTTCTATTCCAACCAAATCTAAATTACAAATTTTCATCAATATATTAAGTAGGCGCTAACAAAATTAATGTTCCTCAACAATTTCAGAACTTCACAACATTGTGGATGTGGGTGTAATAACACTATCTCGAGATTTCGTGCGCTCTTCGAATATTTTTGGGAAAGTCAAATGCTGAATCTTGGTAGTTCAATAGTTAGGTACCTTATTTTGGACTTCGATTTTCTCTCTATCTAAAATTTGTCGACGTTTAATTCGGGAAAGTATGTAAACAACGAACCGAGTGATATTTACAGTAGCAATTTTTTACCTAATTCCCATACATCCGTTGTGTATGTACCGATTCATTTACACGTCAAATGTATTTTCGGGCAAAACCGTTACAATAAACAAGCGCATGGAACAAACATTTGTACTTCCTATTTTGATCCCCAATTGATTACATTTATATGTAGATACACATTCACACTAAATTGATTTCGTTAAATCCGGAACAACGTCCCAATTTTATTTGCAAATGCAAACGAACAATTCGGTTACCTACCTACATACATAAAACAGATCGGTTTGGCAGAGATATACGTCTGTCTTACGGCAGACGGCAAAAGTAAGGACCTCTCGGCGGAGTTATTCGGTTGTTTGGCATTCGGTATAAGAAATTCAAATCGTAATAAAAAGGAACAAGGCAATGACTCACTCGAGGGGTCTACGATTGGGCAAATGAAGGAGTTATTCTATATTCCGCGAGCATCAACGTTTGAAGCGCAACGGGACCGTAGGTAACTAGGAAAAGGTGGTTAAATGTAAATTGCGCGTCGAAGAGGGCACAACTTTTCACTTCGTTATATAGTTATATAAAATACAAGTTTATGCAAATCTTATACAACTTTAATGAATCTACTTGATTTTGTAACTGCACCATACAGAATTCTAAGCTCATTTCCCTCGTATAACTTTGTTTAATATTGCCACGATGTAACTTGTACCATCAATTCCCTTCTTGGAAAATGAAGTGATGCGCGCACGTTCCAGTTTTATTAAGAGAAAATATGGAAATAAGAAGGGCAAGGGAAATGAATGGGAGAAGCCAGCATTTTTCTTAAATAAGAACACTTCAAATTAACAATTTCATTAACGCGTAGGTATAGTTGGTCTAATCAAACAATATGTCAACGAATTAAAGTGTTGATTTTTGATTCGAGCCCTTCAACACACTTTCTTCCCTCTCTAGTCATAAGTCATTTTTAGCGCATTTTTGAAAAAAATACGCTATTATATTCGTCATTGCTGGCAGGCCGGCTGTCCGCGTTAGATCTCCACAACTACAATAGCTAGAGACATAAAATTTTCACTAAAAGCTTTCTGCTATAGTGTAGATGTGCAGGCACTAGTCTATTTTGAGTTAGATTACTTATGAGATCGATAATTGAGGAAAATAATTTCGATATGGGTTTCGTAGGTGCTATAATTTTACCGTTAGATAGCGCTACCAGTATAAAAACTTATTATTTACTTTGTGATTTGTTTTACAAAATGAAGACGTACCGTCAATTGAAATTAAATAAAATTAATTATTTAACGCAGCCAAAATTACTCGGGAGATCGATAATTTTAAACTTCGCTAATAAAATACTGACCTGCATTACCAAAAATGCGCTTTAATCATGCATATGCTGATTTACAACTTGTTTATTGTGCTTTCCTGTGTAGTATGGTGTAAAAAACGTTTTAGCGCTTTTTTTAAATGAAAATGCGTTATTACTACCTAACGATTTATCTGTCTGTATCCCATTAGTGCAGCAAGAATGAATGTTGTCAATTAACGTCAGTTTGATGTTCAAATTTACGCAAAATTTGCATTTATTTACTAATTTAGTGGGGCGGGAGAGAAGAGGGGGGGGGGGTTATTCAATGCTTTGATTTAGTAAATCCTATTATCTCTTCTGAGTCATTCTTTAATTCAGTTGAATCTTGTGTATGTCAATAAGTTGGTACATCGAAACTTAAATATGCTTCATTTAACAGAATCTGAACGCATAGAAATAATTATGGTCAGTTATGTTATGGAGATGGAAACCGAACACAAATAGAAGTCTAACACACAAAGGTGCTAAGTGAAAAATAGACAATTTGCATACTTACAAAAATAAATAAAACTGCCGTATCAAGTAAAATAAGTGTTGTTTTTGAACGAATTATTTATTATTTTTTTGTAAACTGTACACAACTGTTTGATAATACAATTGAACAAATTTGAATAAATGCTTAACTTTTTCATTATACCTAATGTATTTAACTTACGTTGCAAAAAATATCACTTAACACCTGTGTGCGCTAGATCAACGCTATGAAGTAAAAAATGGCTGCTTCAATAACGTTAAAATTTGCGCTCTGCGTTCTAAAAAATAACTTGATTCATTTCCTATTCCGGCACCAAATGTCATTCCAATGGAGTTCATTTCCGATGCTCTTTTTGTTGATGAGCGCATTTGGCACTAATTGGATGAGCCGCTTTGTTTTACTGAAATGCGATGACCATGTTCGAGAAGATCGAATTGTTCACTGATAGTGCAAATATAATCATTTGTTTTCATTCCCATTACTTAAACAATTGTAAGATTTAATGTACTTTATAAGAATGTATACTGTTTTGGGGTTAAAGAAAACCGCCTATATTTTCTCTTAAGATTTATTATAATAACGCGAACATGTGCTTGCGTTGACTAACAAACACAGAATGAATCCAGAATACAGTAATGCCTTAAAACTAATTGTGGGCTAATTATCTGAAGGAATGTGGTTCGGCCAAGGTTAATTACCTGCCCTAAGCCGGTCCTTTTGTTATAACTTATAATCTAGGTAAACCGTACAAATTAACATTAGATAGGTAAACTGTACAAAGTATTTCAAATATGTGCAGGGGTGTCCAACATATACTTCCAAGTTTAAATGTATATGTTATGCACAAACCGACTGCCCCGTAGCAGTTTTCTGTTAGAAAGATCATCTACTGGTAGAAATGGATTTTGTGGGATTCATATCTACTACAGCGACATGAGGTTACGGTAATCAAAGCCGCATAACTGTACAAAGTATAGGACTAGGTTGGCTACGTTAAAGGAAAAAAGGAAACTGGAAGGAAAATATTGTAAACCAAACAGAAAAACAACATAAATCGTAAATAAAAGATCATACGAATGCCATAAAAAGAAAAATGGAACCAATTTCATTTATATCGTCACGGCGTTAATGCAAAATCGTAAAGGTTTCAGTAAATAAATTAATTAATTTAGTTATTTATCCCCCATTAAGGGAAGACTCCGCTATTAAAAAGAATCGAGTAAATCGGTCGGAAGTGCGAATAAGGAAAGGAAGATGGAGGGTCGAGAACCTCGCGAGCTTAATTATAACCTTGAATGTGGGAAACCAATCATACGAAAGCTTTTCATTTAACGCGATTGAATAAAGGGCGCATTCTTTATTTCCGAAAAGGAAAAAAAATTAAAGATATTGTCGTAAATATTTAATGTTGAAGCCGCAAAAAAGTTTTCCTTCCTTTTTTTCGTAAGAAGAGTAAAAGAAACGGTTTGGAATTTTTATGTAAAACTAACCAATCGTGATCTCAAAATTGCTTTTATGATATATATATCAAATGCCCCATTCAGATTATAAATTTTCTTATACGCACACATATATTCAAATTGTTTCATCTAATAAACTTCGAGGATATAAATAAATTCCATCGCCGCGAATCAGTTTAATGGCGTGTAAATTTTTACAACTCTGACTCGATATTAAAATTGATCATTGACGAGAAACGATTGTATTCCAATTACCTCCGGTCGCGCCGCGACGTTACGGCCTAAACTTTATCTACGAAAGAAAACGCCAATTGTTATTTAAATCCTTCTTGGGTTTCGATGTCGTTTTATAAACCAAGATAGGAAAGGACAGAATTACTTCACCATCTCTTTTTGGCACTAAACGAATCAAACTCTGCTTAGTTTGGTCAGTTTCTTATGGGAAACATAGTCACAGGGAGTGTAACTCGTTTCAATCGACAGATGATTCAAATATATTCGAATATTCGGCCCAACATGTCTCATTATTATATTTTGAGAATTGTATCCAGCGTCCAATGTTCGGATTTGAATGTTCTCACAACGAGAATTATTCGATTATTAGAATGATTGTTCGAATATTAACTTCCAATAATAGTACTTTGTGTACCAAGGCGGGAAAGTGGTTGTTTTCCGGGGCGAAGGAAGATATGGCCAGGCGAGGCGCAGCCGAGGCTGGCCACTTCCCGAGGCCCGGAAAACAACTTTCGTGCCGTGGTGCACACAATATTTTTTATCCTATACACTTACATTTAAAATTAATCCCTCAACAACGTCCAACCGCAAGCGCTTGAATTTAGATTTGCTTTAACGCGTCAACGTGCACGCGTTTGTTTTGTTTATTTCCACGTTTCCTGCTGACTACGCGAAAATTTTACGAAACGGTGCAATCTAAGTGGGTCCACGAGTATATTTTTTACTCGTACATTTACCCCTTTCCCTTATATTTATGGATCAAACGAACTTACCTTAAGTGAAGTTCGATCCAAATTATGAGTTGCTCTCGTTGAAATAAATATAAGTGTAGTACCCCCCTATTCTACGCCTAAACCACAACGTTTTAAAGACAAAAAATCCCGTACGCCAACTAACCAGGCGCGCACCCCTAATTCGTCATTCATTTAAAGCTGATGTTGTTGCAATTTGGGCAGGGGATGGGTGGGACATATTTATTTCAACGAGAGCAACTCATAATTTGGATCGAACTTCACTTAAGGTAAGTTCGTTTGATCCATAAATTATAAGTTGCTCTCGTCTCATAAATATAAGTGTAGATCTTGAAAGAAGCAACAACATCTAATCAAAGTATAATAACTTCATCCAAACCTAGGCTACTATAAGCACTTAAATCATAACCGAGCATTCCACAGAAAAAGTAAACTGAATAGTATAAACAATAAACATTCGATGCTTCGCTATTAACTAGATAGGACTGCACTAGCAAAGTCCTGTAATTTGTCAAAAGGCCTTTGATAAAATCGAGCAAAGGTCTCTGACTTTGCCGACCAACCAGCAGTGGTTCTTATGGTATCGATACTAACACCTCTTCCTGCTGCTGCTGATGTTGAAGCATGCCGAGTACTGTGTGCAGTAAACAAATTAGTATCAATCCCGCTAGATTTTAAAACATCTTTAATCCACCTGCTTATTGTCTGGCTCGAGACATTGTGAAAAGGCTTCTTGTGGGCTATAAAAAGTCTTTGCCCAGAAGAGGCCCTAACGACACTAGTCTTATCCAAATATGTTAAAATGGCAGATGCTACACAAATCGGTAGCCTTTCCTTAAAGAACGGAATACGCAACACAGGTTGATAACGATTTTTGGCAGAGGTCTTAATCCTTAAGGGAATCTTAATTTCAATCTTCTCTTCTAAAATCGTTATGTCCTCAACTAGAATGTTAGAAAGCGTTTGAACTCTATGCCCAGTTGCTAATGCCAATAACACCGCTACTTTCTTAGTTAACAAATCTAACGATATTTCCTCATTATTCCATCCGGATAGAAAATCTAAAACTATAGCTGGGTCCCAGATATGACTGTATTTTGGTAAATGAGGTCTAACATTACTAACTCCCTTAAAAAATCTCTTAATAGGTCCGCTTTCACTTAAGTTAAAATTTAAAATGTGCCCCAGGGCAGCCCGATAAGAGTTGAGAGTTCCAAAAGAGGCTCCTCTATCAAACTCGCATGTAAGATACTCTAGAACCTGTCTGGCAGAACTATTAAAAACATCTAGTCCGTTCTTTAAACAAAAAATCCACCAACGTTTCAAGCCACTATCGTATTGTTTTAGTGTGCTTTCCGAAATAGATTTCACACAAATATCCACCGCTGCCATGGGAACATCTTTGCGCTTTAAGGCTTCCCTGATAAGATTCCTACCGCCAGGGAAATCCGTCTCCAAAGCGGGTGTGGTCGCCTATCAAAAGAGAGAAGCCTTCTGTTAGGTTCAAATATTATTAGGGGGCTGTCTAACATAGACTTAAATAACGGAAACCATGGTTGAGCTGGCCAAAGAGGCACCACTACAATACCCTTAGCCTTATCAGCATTAATTTTATTCAGCACTTTTAAAATTAAGGTGAAAGGAGGAAAGGCATAGAACCAAAGGTTTGCCCAGCTTACAGTGAATGCATTTACTTCGCTGGCTTCTGGATCTCTAAACCAAGATATAAACTTATCGCATTTTTTGTTTAATCTAGACGCAAATAGATCAATTACCGGGTAACCAAACGTGTGACAGATTTTTCCAAATGCAAAGGTAGACAGCTCCCATTCAGTTTCTATCGATAGCGCTCTGCGCGATTCTCGATCGGCATCTACGTTTTCAACAGATCTTATATAAGATGCAAAAATAAAGATATTTCTATTCTCGCACCAATGCCAAATCTCCCTAGTTAAACTATTCAGTTTTGGAAATTGAACACTGCCCATCTTATTAATACAAGCAATTGCTGTGGTATTGTCTATGCGACACACAATATTCTTGTTTTTAATATTACTTGCAAAGCATTTTAGGCCAAAGAAAGCAGCCTGTAATTCAAGAAGGTTTATGTGGTAAGATTGCTCTGAGGCTGACCAATGGCCATGTGTTCTCAATCCCTTGCAACATACTCCCCAACCTGTATTTGAAGCATCTGAAAAAATCTCCAAGTCAAATTGTAATTTCTCTAAACTGTTTCCTGAATTTGATAAATTTTTTCGCCACCACTCAAAGTCATCCTTTAGACTAGAGGGAATTTGCATGGTTGCGTCATAATTTTCTCCATGAGAATTTAAAGCTAACAGTTTTACTCTTTCAAAATTCCTAGTGTGAAGCCAACCAAACTTCATGGCCGGGTTTATGGAGACCAACTTTCCTACCAATGTAGCAAACTCACGTATCTTGCAAAAGTTTAAAATAGAGAAATTATTTACCATCTTAAACAGTTTCTCAACTTTTTTATCCGGAATTTTAATAGACATTTCTACAGTATTAATAGTAAATCCCAAAAATTCACAAACCTGTTGAGGAGCCATGCAACTCTTTTCTTTATTTATAATAAATCCCAAAGACTCCAAAAGGGTAGTGGTCTGAGTAACGTTATGCAAACAATTCCTATAGGAATCTCCTAAAAGTAAGAAGTCGTCCAGATAAACCACTGATAAAAGTCCAGCAGTTCTAAGGTGGGAAACAACTGGCTTCATAATCTTAGTAAAAATATATGGAGCACAACTTAAACCAAATGGTAAACAATTAAACTCAAATAAGTCTCCGTTAAATGAAAATCTCAAAAATTTTCTATGACCTCTATCAATTGACAAGAGGAAATAGGCATTCTTCAAATCTAATTTAGCTAGAAAACAATTTTTGCTAACTAATGTCCGGGCAGTCTTGATATCTTCCAGTTTAAAATGATTATAAGCAATAAAGTCATTAAGCTCTTTTAAATTCAATATTAAACGTAAGCTACCGTCTGGTTTCGGGACTAAAAAAATATTTGAGATAAATTGCCCAGAACAACTTGTCACTCGACTAATAGCCCCCAATTTTAAAAGGTCAGCTAAGGCTCTTTGTAGGTTAATAACCTCTGTCTGTGACCAACTAGGTTCCCGTTTTACAAAAAATTGTTGTGGATACTTTAAGAAGGGAATCTTTATTCCCTTAATCCATGACAAAACAGTACCATTCCTAGTAATACTAAGCCAAGAAGAGTAAAATTTCTTTAATCTTCCAGCTGAACGACTTACAGCTAATGCTGCCACGGGCGCTTTGTTACAGGTCTCCTCTGTTGCCTCGTCTGTTGAAGTTGCATTCTTGCTAGGTTTCTCCCCTCCAGAAGGGATTTTGGTCGAGCACTGTAAAAGGGCCGAGTCCGTTGGTGGAAAGGTTGACGGTCCCGCCGAACTCGAGGGAACAGGGACCGACCTCTGGAGTTTTTTGCTTCCCGATACGCAACTGGCGCCTTCGGTTTGGCAGGTCTCAATTCTTGGCTAACCTTCTCCAAATTCTTGGATGCCCTCAATCTCTCGTCCAGATTGATTCCGAACAACCAGTCATCCACCTCGGCATTATGTAGTGTATCCTTAAACTCTTTACTGAGTCCTAGGGCAAGTAACTCTTTTCTGGTGGAAGAGTATGATGAAAAAAGGTCGACCAATAGTTTCCCTGCATCGCTGAGGGATCGCACCAGCTGTAGGTTGGTGTTCCCATCCTGCTCCAAAAGCAAGGACAGCGCCCTTCCGATTGCAGAAATGCTGCAACCCAATTGTTTCTGAAAACCAAGCAGACGGTTGTCTCGGTTCACTGACGCTACGTTAGTAGCTGCCGCCACTTCCACATTTAATTTTGGGGCTTCTAAAAATTTGCAGTTGGTCGGAGGAGGGTAACGGAGCACACATTCCGTCCGAACGTCTTCACTCAATCTCCGTTTTACGATATCCAGCCAACTCGCAACCAGCTCTTTTCTAATAAAAGAATCGGTCTGATTTTGCTTCTCCGTAACGCCGATAATTTTCAGGATGTCCTTTGATAGGGGCATGTCCTGGACAGTAGTATTACTTTCATTTTCCTCTAGAAACAAAAATCAATAAGAAAAAATTTTCTAAGAAAATCCCTTGTAAGACAAAACAGTCTCAAAATGGGAAAGAAATAGTAAGGAATGTAAGAGTTCTACGGCTCATTTCCACATTAGGATCAACCCAATGAAAAGGCATCTGTTTGTTCGAATAAACACCCTAGCGCGTCGAATGAATTCGTCGCGCTCTTAAACGCCCTCGCAAAAAATAAGGGAGCCGCACTAACAGTGCGCCTTTCACTGCCCTTCATCCTGACCGAAAACCAGGTAGACAAATATCTACGTTTTTTAACAATACATTCCAAAAATATTACGTAATTACCAAAAAGTGAAAATTCACTTAAACAGTTAAATAGCTAGCTCAATGATATCATTGGCCTAAGAGGAATACCCCTCTTAACCGATCGCAACAATGCGAATTAATTAAATACCTTCCTCGGACGGCTCCTGCTACCGTTAACGCGACAGCAGCATCCTGCATCTTCGTGAAAATCGTCCGTACGGAAATATATATTCCCGTAACTGACCGTGTCCAATTCGGGATTATTCCCGCGGTCAGAAGTGGTGCATTCCAAAATCGGTACGTAATTAGGTACCAAAAGTGAAAATTCACTTGAACAGTTAAACAGTCTGCTCAATGATATCATTGGCCTTAAGAGGAATATTCCTCTACTAAATGATCGCAGCAACGCGAGTGATTAGTGAATTAAATACCTTCTTCAGACGGCTCCTGCTCCGGGAAGGCAGCGGCAGCATCCTCATGAATATCGTCCGCACGGAAATGTATATTTCCGTAATTGACCGTGTCCAATTCGGGAGTATTCCCGCGGTCTGAACTTGTATCAGCCGTATCGCTGATGGTAAGGGAATCCACGCTATCTCGTTTCCTTTGGGTCGAGACACGATCCAACTTTTCAAGTTTCCGCAACAGTCTCCTCCGTTTTCTTTCCATCCTGCTATCAGGACTTCTTTCTCGTCGTTTCCCCATTAAAACACAAGAGAAACACAACACGCAGAAGAACACAAAACACGTGTGGTTTAAACCGCACAAATAAGAAGAATGACGAATTAGGGGTGCGCGCCTGGTTAGTTGGCGTACGGGATTTTTTGTCTTTAAAACGTTGTGGTTTAGGCGTAGAATAGGGGGGTACTACACTTATATTTATGAGACGAGAGCAACTTATAATACAGTTCAACGCAAATTCAAATTCTAGCGCGCTTGCGATTGCACAGTGCGGAGTCACCGAAGGGAGTCACGGTGCAACAGAGCAGAGGTGCAAGTGGAGAATACCGATCATGTGCGAACTGAGTTGACATTTCCGGCATTTCACTGGCCCGTGATTATTTCCTTAGAAAATAACGGGATTTAAGGGGTTGTAATTAATACCAGGCGCATTTGAAATTATTACTGGTCTTGTGTATTAACAAATGTGTTTTAAAATTGAATGTGTGTTTTCAGGGACAAAATCACACCGGTTACATTTTAAATCCTTCGCAGTATCCATGTCTTGTCAAATGTAAGATGCTTTTAAGGCTGGATTTATGCTTGGCGACGAAAGCGCAATGTGCACACTTTAAATCCTTGATGATCTTGTATTTTAAAAAAATGTGTGTTTTATAAATACATTTATTCATTCCTTACAGTCACACTGGACACATTTTAACTTCGGGGTAGTCTCGTATGTTAAAATGCTACTTATTGCGGATAAGCAGTGTTCTACTTACAGTGCAAAGTATATCTTGATGTTAAATGTATTGACACAGATGCTCGTTATTGAAAGTAAATGGGAGATTATGACTTAAGTTTGAAACGTTTGAATTGGTCACGTGATATTGGGAAAGTATTCAAATTCACGAAACATTGATAGGTATAGGTTCGCGGTAATTAAATAAATTCTTGAATTCAGTAAAATAAAGTGAACATAGGGTAAATTTAATTATTAAATCAGTGTTGACGATTTTATGTTTCTTATTTAATTAAAAAGAAATAACTTCTTTGACATTTTATTACAACCGCGCCATCTAGCTTACATAAGGCGTATTTTTTTTTCTCGCCTAGCCGACAAAATTGAATTTTCTCGCTCCATGCGTGCAATTGTCTTCTTTCGCGTCCTCACACAGGCGAGAAAATGTAAGTTTCTCCTTGTATAGGATAAAAAATAATTGCCAGCCCTAGTCAAATAAGAAGTGCGGTAAATTCGGTCCGGTAAACTAGCACCGAAAAGTCACTGCGCGGACCAGACTCCAAAGAAAACTCATTTCCGTCAAATTAAAAACTATCCAATTAAAGAGTGATAGGTATAGGTTACCTATTTGCGATTTCAGGTGGGTTCGATTTTCTGTTTTAGAAGTATACCAGAGTGTAGGGTGGAAAAGGTTATCAAATTAGTAGGTATTAGGTCTTCTACGGATTTAAAATGTGCACAGTGTGATTTTGCAACACTTCACCAACATGTCCTAAAACGACATCTCTTAACTCGCAAAACCTCAAAGGATTTAAAATGTGCACATTGTAATGGCATTATCCACGTATAGTACTCATGAAAAGAAGCCAAGAGGTCTTAATAAACATAGGTCCGCAAATTAAGTGTTTCAAAGAGTAGGTAAATTTTGTATCGTCGTCAACAAATTACGTTAATAAAAACAAACGAACAGTGTTATTTCTTAATGCCACGGCCCACGTCAAGTACTTAAAAGAAGATGCTCAATGATGCCCTCCTTTCATTTGCACACAGACTGCTCATCCTCCTTGAAAGGAAGCTCTTATTCGTTCGGATATGAAAATATTTAACTTAAGATACAAAATCAACTCTGAAACACTTAATTTGCGAATTTATGTTGATTAAGACTTTTTTGTTTCTTTTTAAGAAAACTATACGCAGATAAAATATCCGACCATTTTTTGAAATATCCTGTATACGAGGTTCGCCGGGACAACGTTCGTCGGCTCTGCTACTATCTACATAAAAAATGAATGTTGCCTGTCTGTCTGTGTCTTATGCCTGTAGAATCTGTTCATCCAATTGCGATGAAACTTTGGGAAATGGTTAGAAGTTACTCGATGCGTCGACCTTTGCAGCCGACCGACCGACCAACCGAACAGCCAAAATGAATATATGTATAAACGCTACTTTTTTTTCAAAAACGTGCTAAAAACTCGATACGGCGAATCGCATACGATTTTCAGTAACGAATTTTTTTGTCACTCAGCTCACATTCGGAAAACAGACTTTTAATCCGGCTCATATTCAATAGCGCCGATCCTTGAACTCGTAGAAATCGATTTTCGAAGGTATAACATCGCTGTCTATATTACTTTTCGAGTTCGACGAGAAACAGGACAGACGGACAAAAACATCACATGGAGGAATTTTTTTCCTTAAAACCAATAATTAATTTTATAAATAATAATACTCATAGAATTAATTTTGAATCAATACAAAACGAGTACGATATTTTAAGGGTTTGGAAAAGTGGGATGCCAACTTAATACTAAAACGACTACTATGTTACATGAATTATAACAAAATGATAGTGTCTTAAGACAGTTGGAGAATTTAGCCCATAGGACGTGGCTTAGAGAAAGCTACATAAGCGACTAGAATTGGATTAAGTATATTCGAATTACTAATTAAAATTAGCATTTCGCTAACGGTTGATTAGCTTCTTTGCATTTGGGGATCAAGCTAATAGCCGTAGGAGATGGCTTCCGTTGTTCGTAAATAAATTGACCAGTTGGAGGTGAGCCGCAAAGTTGAAACTGAACCGCGTTAACGTTACGTCGTAATTTATTCCAAGAGCGTTTCTCTGGAGAATCGGGAAGTATACGTATATGCATAGGCAGTGGCGGATAAAAATCTAAATAGAGGAAAAATAGTTCGAAATGGTAGCATTCGCTTGTATCTGTAGGTGATATCTTGGAAATTATGAGATCGCATTGAAAAAAAGGTCATTTTGAGCAGCGCGACGCGGATTTAGAAAGACCTTAGCACGACGGCGGCGGTGGCAATAACTTGTCTTCTATAAAACAATAGGATTGTAGCCCGTCGCCCTGAGCGAATCCCGTTTTCTATTCACATGCAACGCGATTGTTGTGGTCGCGATTTATGACGTCACGGGATAAAAATTGATAGCGGGATATGTAAATGCGGGCTGGGGCAACATGATTAATGGTGGCAGCTCTCTAGTCGCGCGCCATCGCGCTGTAATATAGGGAAATTGGCTCGAAACTGCTCGTGTGTGCACCGGCACGACTGTAAATTTGTCTAAAAGTCGGGGGTGTCGGTTAAAAGCAACGGTCGCTAAATCAGGATAATACTTAAAACCCACCTTCTACGAAAACACCACCCCCGTTCGCCCGAAAATCCTAATCTGCCCGATTTGTAAGTTTCGGCCTCATTACGTCCTTGGCTCGCAATTAAACGAATTTCGAAAAAAAATCGACATACGAGCAGTTTCGAGCATACAAATTAATCGGAGCACTAAGTAACCTCATATTACAGATTTATATGGATGTGTGCATATAGTAGTGTCGTTCTACTGGCAAATCTGGCAAAAATCCAAAATAATTATTGGCATCGGGGTTACATCGATAATTGGATAACGGCCAAGTTATACAATGAAGATTTTACAATCAAATCTATTCAATTTTAAACAAATTATTTTTCTTTGTGCTCATTGCATTAAACGAGCGAGGTTATTAAAACACGAGAAGTGTGTTGTTTTAATTGATTAAGCAATTTTCCAGAGCCCTATGGGAGCTTTCATTAAGCACGGGTTTCGATATAGCTCTGTACGACAAATATCTGTTTAAATAACTAGTTTTGGGTTTATTAGATGTAGCATCTTTAGGCCTTTTAGACTAGTGACTATTCACTAAAGTAAGATGAACATTTTTATAATACAAGAATCGTTCAATAAATAACGATGCAATTAAAAATTTGCATAGTCTTATGGCATACATTTCTTTAAGTTGATCTTGAAACCGCGTTTGCACATGAATTTTAACTCCTTTATTGGATCCAAAATGTAAGGCTAACGATAGAACATGCCAGTCTAATTAGTACATGGTGCATTTTAATTAGTAAAATCACACCATCAGTTCGTGATCTTCAACTGTTTGTTGTTAGCGACATGCAGTTCGAAGATATTCAGGGTAGTCGCACCATTTTTTGCATTCTTATAAACGAACATTGTAAATTGATATACGTACGAATATAAACGTGATTAGGTGATGCAGAATAGCATTTCAGTTTCAGCGATTTTCATTATTTGCACATTTCCTTTCTGGGAAACGCAAACTCTTAATAATTTAACTAAGATGCGCATCGATTCAATTTTCTTTGCGTATTGTACACATATCATCAGGTTAATTAAAGATGTTATCGTGAATGTTATTTATCGTACGCAACCCCAAAGTAAGTCGAGAAAAGAGAAATATATGAACAAACGGATTCATTTAAGTTACTTTTCAAAAATTGCCTCTAAAAGTGCATTTTTACACGTAATCAAAGACTTACACGACGGAAAGGGTAACAGTAATGCGTAGCAAATAATCAAATAGCATATTATTTTCTGATCAAGCCAAGATTTTTTATTCATCAACGACTGGTAAGATCACCCCATTGGGACTACGACGTTCGGACAAAAAGCTTAACGTCTGACTTATTGCAATTAATCTGGACTTCAGAAATCTTAACTATATTTATACAGGTCAGAATTGAGTTGAATATTGATTGTATTGGAACTTGATATAATAATTGTGTCATCCTTGTGCCTGTGATAAATGCAATATCATAGGAAGTGTTATATAATATAGTAAAGGTCCAAACACTGACCCCTGCGGGACACCTGTAGTATCAGAAATGGGGTAATTTAATGACACGCGTTGTGTCCTAATGTCCTTTTCCTAAGGAAGCTTGAAATAAATTTTATCAAAGTATTGCAAAGAGAATAGCATGATTTATTCTATCAAAAACTCTTGAGTAATCGAGCAGTACAAAAACTAGCAGATTATTACAGTCAATTGCAGAAATAATTGTGTCTGTGGCAGTAGTGCAACTGTGTCGCGATCTAAAACCGGATTAAAATTGACGAAAACACAAAACCAGTACCCATACGTTTAATTAATTAAAGTTTGCGACATGTTTCGAAATCTGTCATCTTCAGACAGAGAATTGAG